CATGTGTGCCAGTGTAGCCTCGGCCTCGATCACAGGGTTGTCCAGGGTGAAGATGGTGGTGGTGGGGTCGACGGTGATCCCCAGCTCTTGCGGTTGCATAGGTAGAGGATGTTGCACAGGTTGTGGTGGTTGCTGTGGAGGACAATCCCCCGTATTCATCAGCGTGATGTAGTTGCATGCCCGATATGCCAGCGTTGTGACCTCCTCGTTCGGCTGGTTGAAGGATGCTTGAAGTAGAGCATGGATCACCTTAGTGAGAGCCTGTAGTAGTTCCGCAGAAGTTCGTGGAGCTGGTTCTGGAAGCCACGCTGTCTCCTCTTTCAGGTTGTAATTGTTCCGGGTTCCTCGGCGGTGGTGGTGGAGGTGGTCCCATCGCTGTTCTCTGCATCAGCCATGTGGCGTCTTGCGTGGGGTATCCCTCCGCATCGCTCTCCGTTGCAGGCGCGGAAGTCGTGCCTTCTGTCGTAGTGGTTGTGCTTGTGGCTTCTTCTGGGTCTTCGCTTGGCCAGATGGTCTCGGATTCAGACCCAGAGCTCATTGCCCTGGACGGCAGCGGCGGTCTTGCTTTGGACGTTGGTGTCGTTGGCGTCGATGGAGGGGGCCGGCTCGATGCCATGGTAGCCGAGGATGTCCTGTCGTCGGTGGCAGTGGTGGATCGTGAGGTAGCCGATGTTGTCGATGCCATTCGTGGGGGTTGTCGCGTCTCTTGTTCGGCAGGAGAGGTGGCGCTTGCACCCCTGTTGACCCTTGGGTACCCACGTCGCTCCGGGGGTGTCGGTGGCCTGGGCGCCTCTGCAGCTGAAATGATCGCATGCCCTCCAAGACGGTCGATATCGCCTGGGAATCTTGGTCTGCGGACCCATTCGCGGGTCGTGCCTTTCCACTCAAGGAAGAACGTTTGTCCAGCTTCCAGGGGTAACTCCCCTGCGCCTGGTTCGGCATTCGGGATAGCGTCAACCTCGACGAGCCAAAAGCGGGGCGTTCGGGCAAACCCTAGCTCGAATCTCGTAGTCGCAATCCAGGCTCCCACTGGGTGTAGCGTCAAGCGGACGCCCGGCGAGAGCGTGGGTCCGGATGCCTACGGAGAGCTCTGTGTTTTGTAGGCCACCACTGAAGGTTCTTGATGGACTCGCGGAGGGTGCCGAATTGTATGCTCTGTCCGGGGGGTCCAAAGGACCACCCGCCACGCTCCGGCCATGGTTGCCCTTGCAGAGAAGATCACATTGGGAGCAATAGGGATCGTAGGTGGCAGTGTAGGGGGTGCCGCCCCTTGGTACCATGACAGGTCAAAGCTCACGTCCCCGATGCGAATGGAAGAGCGCATACTGGATGAGGCATCTTCGATTTGCCATCGTGGTGCTCGTCCTTCGGCTGCGGCTCGTTCCGCTTGTCGCTCAAGGTCCGCTATGTCCGGTTGGAGCGGGATGCTAGCCGATGAACTCGACGATGAAGAACTCGAGGTCAAAATGGGCTGGTTGCACGAATAGGACATCTCCCTCGGGGTTTCCCCCTCGTTCAGGTCCTCTGGATTGGGAGGGGTTGCCCCCTATTCGCTGATGCTCCGGTCGGTTGTCGACAATCTGCACCGGGAGGTGGCTTGTGCCATCGAACTTCAGCTGTAGCGTGGTGCTGTCCGTGAGCTTTCTCAGCAACTTCTGCTGCCTGACTGGCTTTGGAGGGTGTTCTCGGTGATCATGTGGGAGGTCGAAATGCACCCCTCTCCTCTGTTGCCGGTCGTGCGGAGGTGGTTGAGGATGACTGGGTTGCCCCATGTGTTGTGCTTGACGAGCAGGTTGTCGTGGTTGTTATTGCCGATATGGGTTCGCCGCTTGTCTTTGCTGATGATCTTGTCTGGCTTGGTTTGCTGCTTTGCTGGACTCAAGGTTGTTGTTGTGGTAGTCCTGGTCCGCATGGGCCTTGCTCTCAGTGCTTGCTTTGGCTGCCGCGTGGGGTGCCACTTCTGCTGTTTGTGGCTTCGGCGGCTTTGGCGGGGCCTGGTTTCCCCGGTGGTCAGCCAGCTGGGACGGTGCCGAAGACGTAGAGGACGATGCTGCTGCTGCTGCTGCCGATGCTGTGGCTGTAGGGATGACATTTCCTTGGTCATCTCGCTCGTATTGGTGGGCAGCGAGCAGAGCTGCAAACTTAGCCCTGTCTTCGGCGCTGGACTTGGGTCGTTTGGCCGGGGGCTTTTCTCCTCGCTGCAGCCATGATAGTGCAGCGCGCCATGTCAGCCAATGGGGTTTGTCTCCCCAGCCCGCTTGATGCCACAACTTCTTAACATCACTTTTCTTTGCCTTGTTCTTCACCCTTTGGCTGCCGTGTCCAGCGGACCTTTTTCCGGGGTTCCCCCCGGAGCCTAGGCGAGGGTCGTGGTGTTCAGGCGGAGGGTCCGATTCGTCTTCGTCTGTGTCGCTGACGTCGCTGATCCAGTCCGCATCGTCCACGCCGGCGTCCGGGGGGCCTTCCCCTCCGTCTCCTGGTATGGTGATCCATTCGTCATCCTCCTCGGCGGCGGGGCTCGCGGTCTCGGCAGTGACGGTTGTAGGATGAGCGGTGCATTCTGGTTGTTCATGTTGTTGTTGCGCGGATTGGCAGGCATCCCCCGCCATTTGGTCTGGTCCCATATGCGGTGGTTGCGGAGCAGGCTCTTCTGTTATGGGCTCTGGCCCCTGCGCAGCATGTTGGTGTAGTTGAGCAGGAACTTATTCAGCAGGCACTGGTCCGTGTGTGGCCGGGCCGGTCGTTGGGTTTTGAGTCTCTGGCGGGAGCAATTGCTCTCGGCTCTCACGTTGCTGTTCCGGTAGTCCCCTTGCTTCTTGAAGTTGACGAGGTTGGTGAGCTTCGATCTGGTGAGCTTCAGTCGCCGTCTGGCAGTCGTCCGGTGGTAGTAGGTCAGGTTGAGGCAGTTGATGGGTTTGCGCGGCGGGATGTCCAGTCTGGTGTCCTTCTCCTGGCGTTGCAGCTGTCACCGAGGCACCGGCTGGCTGCGTCGGTATGGCATTGTGGGACCAGCTCTGGTGGTAGTAGGGGACCATCATTAGCCAAGGTCCTGGCCAAGGAGCTCCACGTGTCCACTGGCGGCTCATTGGGGTTCGTCATTCCCCAGGCTGCAACGTCTTGCTGCTGAAAATTGTTGGTTGGGGGGATTTGCATAGGTTGTGGTCGCGAAGGTGGTTGTTTCGGCAGTGGTTGTCGTTGGGGCTGAAGAGCATGAGGTCGAGGAGGCAGCGGTGGTTGTCGGCTCTCTCTCTCTCTCTCTCTCTCTCTCTCTCTCTATATATATATATATTTATAGATATCTCTCTCTCTCTCTCTCTCTCTCTCACCACCTCTCCCTCACCCCACACACACTTGTGTTCACATTGTCAATGCAGGCCAGGGGTGCCATACGTCTTCACCACCTCATAGTGATCCACATACTGGTAAGCCTGCCTGGCAGAGAACCACACGGTGTGGAGTTGGCCTCGCTCGTTTAAATAATTGCTTCCCCGGGCGATGTAACATCACATTGAGTGCAGATCTGGCGTTTTGCAAACATTCAACACTAAAGCCATGCATACAATGACAGCACTAGGACTGCATCGGGTACTCTTGCCAACGTGCACCCATCACTGTGCATCGGGCTTTACCAAGTTGTTTCCTTGTGGTCTTCACGGTTCCAACACTTTGCACAAGCTCGTCTATTTGAGCACATCGCTATTGAATTCCACAATGTGGAGCATGTTATGTTACAGCCCAACCTTCTCTTCACAAAACCTTGGTGGCGTAAACTTGGTGGCTTGGCCTTATCCACCTGTCATCTTGGGTTGTCGAGTCTATCTAGCTGTGTTTCAACTCTTGCTTCCTTGTACGCCATGTTCCAAGCCAAATGAGGGAGGCATAGCAACACGCGAAACTATGATAAACAAAAACGTGTCGCATGGACATCCTCTCGAGCCGTCTTTCAGCACTGGCCCTCGCAGAGCCTCTGCTGAGCATCGAGATTCGCTTCTTCCCAAATGTCCAGAGCGAGATCAATACCATCGCTTGCTGATGTGCTGTCGTGGAGCGTCAAGGAAGCCTGCCACTTTGTCAAGTCATTTGGTGTTTGCATTATAGGGTTTAGGGTTCAGGATCTAGGATGCAAACTGGAACACATCTGAAGTTACTTATCGCTGTGTACCAGTACAAGCGTGCGCACACTCACACACACACACACATACACACACATGCGCACAAACCGCAAGATAAATTCAACAACCCTGCATGTTTACAGCACAGACCACTATGCCTGCTCACTTGGGGGTCCTTGCTTATGCATCTCCGACTCCCACGATCACACTCCCTTGCAATCGCTTTCACGAATAAGGGCTGGCCGTCTGCCTCGCAGTTGCTCACGTTGACGAAGTTCTCTTGGTCTGTCACGCTGACAAAGCCATTGTCTGCACCATGGCTCTGTAGAAGAGCCTGAGAACCAAGGCTGAATAGATAGGAATTAGAGCTTAGGGTTTAAGTTTAGAAGGTTTGGGGTTTAGCGTTTGTAAGGTCCAGGGTTTCGGGTTTGGGATTTAGGGTGGACACGCGGCAGCTCGGGGCCATGTCAGCGACTCCGAAGGTTTCAGATGCAGGAAACAATCATGATAGTTGAGGGTCCCTGCCATTTATTCAAGTAAAGTGTCCCCAGACCCTAAACCCTTGAATCTGAGGTGACATGTCTCCACTGCAGGCTTCTGGGCCCTTCTAAGGGCGGAAATGCCATGCTGTTGTAAGGATTCGCCGCTCCTTTGGGCAGTGGGGGATGCTCCAAGAAGGCTGCACGCATTCAGAACCAAACGTTTCATTTGGTATGCATGTAATTTGCATGCTTTGTGCCACTGCTCTTGCGGCTACTACAGCATCAACGGCAGCGAGATCATCCGGTCCCAGATCTCAAACTCTGAACATATATTATACGTGAGCGATTGTGATATGGGAAAGCACGTGGAGACTGCCATGGAATGCTGCACTCTACTTAGCCCGTCCGCCTGCGCGTCTTTGCGAAGCTGCCTTTCGCTGGTCGCGGCAGAAGGGTCCTGCTGGTGCAGGTGCAGTAGTGAAAGAATGTCGACAAGCCAATTGGCGGCCTTGGACGCACTCTTCACAAATTCCCACTGCTGGAAGACGTCGCCTGGAATGCATGTCCTGCCAACCAGTACACCGAGTATCTTGGGCCCAAGGGTGCAATCGGGGCTTACAGCCGTCGAAAAACAACTTAGGTCAAGACCGGTGGCTGGCATTGGTCACAGTTATTATCTGCTATCGAGTGTCCCGGTCGTCAAAGGCTGCGTGCTGGAGTTCACGGTAGACATAGTCGATCCCATGCATTGCACAGAAGAATAACGTTCATAACCCTTCTTCCAATACACTCCGGCCAGGAAGTAAACACAACCAAGATAAGGTTGTGGCTCCATAACTTCTGTTTCCCATGTCACATAGGGTGGCATCGTCGGTGTGCAACAAGTGAAGTTATAGTCTACGTGTGTGTCCTCCGATAGGAAATCCATGGATGTGCCCTGCATAGCGGAACCATCAGGGCACGTGATAGTCACGGAGCTTGCATCGTCAGTAGAGCCGTAAAGCGGCTCCTGGCAAGACGCCCCCTGATTTGTCCAATCCCGTGTTTGACCAACACGTGCACAGATGTGCGTATTCGGAGACCCATAATCGCTCGTGAGGATCGAGTTAATGAGTCCGTTTGGTCCGCAATCATTTGCTCCTCCAAGTACCTCGCCCTCAATATCATAGAGGGTCACTGTCGGAGCATATAGGCACCTCCCGGTGCCTACGTTTGTGATTGTGCCACCACTATCACTCGAGATTTCCCAGAAGAAGGCGTTGTCCGTCAGTTGGCTTAGCCTTGCTGTGCCACTTTTCAGGGAGCCTCATACCCCTTGATTAAGGAATACATCATAAACCACAACCCTAAACTGCTAAACCCTAAACCCAATCGCCCGGAAGATTTCAGGAAAATCACCTAAAAATCACCAGATATTGAGCTCTTCAAGTTCTTCTCACAATCTCTACATAGACCACATGCAGTCAAATGAGCTTCGTGCTGCTCGTCAAGGGCGCTGCTGCACTTTCTCATTTGGGTATAGGGTTTAGGGTATAGGGTTCACTCTGATCGTTAAACTAAACCTGAGCAGTTGACCCTAAAACTGCGAAACTGAAACGCAAACGGAGAGTAAACCCTCTAAACCCTAAGCCTAAATCCTAAGAGTCTAAACCCTAAACGCAAAACCCTAAAGCCTATGCTGATCCATGCTGAGTACGTGGACTGCACCATCTGGACGGATGCCGAAGTGTCTCCAGTGTCATACAAGTAATAGGGCTCTTCGTCCTGCTCGCTGGATAGGGTGTCGGGTTGAAGGTTAAGGCTTGGTGAGCACTTAGGGTTCAAAAGGTTGGAGTTTAGGGTTTTGGGGTTAGGGTTCTCTCATGACTTGCGTCCTTTTGCATAAACAGGAAGCTTGCGGATGCCTCAGGTTTGGACGCCAGAACTTAGCTTCATGGGGTTAAGGTGGCATGCTTGGAGTTTCAGGAACGGTGACCTGTCCTCCACAGACTGCTGGTGGGCCAAGGCCCAACCATGTCCAGGGACATTCCACTTGACGAAGCCGCCTGTGGTGCGTGGTTTAGGGTTTAGGGGACATAGAAAACTCCAAGACAAGTCTGAGACCAGAAACAGATGAAATAACACCAACAATGACACCCACACCAGCAGCAAGAAGACCACCGCCACCGAAAAGAAGAAGAATAACATGCAGAAGAACTAACAGTAACAAGAACAACCAAACCAACACCAACAAAACCAAACCAACAACAACAAACATCAACTACGCAAACGCCAAGAACACCAAGACACCCAATAACAACAAGAGCACCACTGACACAAGAATAACACCAAGAACAACAACGACAATCAAAGGACGTAGTCATGGTATTTGGGCTATCTCCGCCCACAAACTAGTCAATGTTTTGGAGCAAGTGGAATTAGGCCGCAAGCTACGATTTACGACACCGCCTGGGGAAGATCGGTTGTATACTTTGGTCACTGGGAGCAGCTTGCCAGAGTCTTCCTGCGTAGCCACGGAGATATCCTCGGTGTTGAAGGGATGAGCTCTTCGCTGGGTCTCCTTCTAGACCGGCCCCTCTGCAAATTTGGCGCGACAATACTACTCAGCAGACTTAGACGCATCATGCTCACATCGCGAATGCCGAGCAAGTTGCTGCCACGCAACTAGCAACAGCAGCAACCGCAATGAACATCAGCTGGAAACCCCTAAACCCTTTAAGAACCCTTACAGAACCCTTATAGCCACCTTTGAAGCAGCCCTTAGAGTTACCCGTATGGAACCAAAAGAGCCCTTAGGGCTAAGGCTTCAAGGCTCTAATTATGTGCCAAGTTGCCCAGGGGCCTCCGAACATGCCAATCTGAAGGAGTTCCTGCTTCAGCTGTTTGGGGTTTAGGGTCTAGATCTAGGGTTTAGGCGGTTTAGGGTTTAGGGTTCAGGCTTCACCGTGCTTGGGAACGTAAAGTTACACAAAGGCAAGAAGGAAAGGGTCCTCTTTACCAAAGATCCTCAGTAGTAAATTTTGCTCTATCACAAGATGCCCTAAACCCGAAACCCTATACCCGAAGGCGCTTGCAGGTTCAAGACATGCAGCTACCGTGGATGGTGTGGCCCGTTGTAGACGGGGTTGCCGCTGAGTTGGAAAACGTGGTTTAGATTTAGGGTGTAGGGGTTTAGGGTATAGGGTTTAGGGGTGAATCCTTCTTCCGGTGTGTCCGGCACGAAGCAACTGTGTGTCACTGGGTTTGTTTCAGCTTCTTAAAAGGTCCTGTGTACGGTGTTTTGTGCCCAGTGGCAGCCTTGCTGAGGGCTTTTGTGAGCGGCCTGGCTGAAGTTTCTTTCGTTAGCTTGCAGGCCTGCATGGCTTAAACTGAGAGGTTCAGCTTGGGGTCTGACATTTCGAGCACTGGCTTTAATCGGGTTGGTGGGACTTGTATGGCAAAGCACAAGAATAGCAGTGACTTGGGCATGAGGATTTAGTTTCAGGTTTCACCAAGTCTCTTTCATTTGTGACCATCTTTCCGACTGCGACCCTGAACCTCTGTAGCTTCATCCAAAACTGCCCTTCGCATCCTGAAGCCAACCAGTCCTTCAAACCCGAAATGCAAACGCCGCAACCACAACAATAAGGGATAAACCCTAAACCCTTAAACCCTAAACTCTCGGTGTCCTTCGCAGGGTGGCGGGACTCCGGCACGAACTTCAGCTGCTGAAGAGCGAACTCTCCTCCTGAGGAGCCGAGCTCTGTTCCTGGCGAGGACTTCAAGGCTTTTCGGCTTCCTTGGCTCTTCCTCCACCTCTAGAATCTAGAAAGCACAGAGTATGGGACACACTAGAAACGATCGGGCTTCCTGGTTGCCTTCAACTTCTGCGCTGCGGCTTGGGCGGCTAGTCTGAACGGCTGCACTCAGGTCCTGCTGTCGGCACAGAAAAGTTCCACTGTCGGCTCGCAGCATCGACCTTTCAACCATGAGGCCACACAAAGACTGGAACATCGCTGTCCGTAGACTGGCATCGGAGTCCCATCGGCTGTGGATTGGGTGCTCGGATTCTTGGAAGCTCTGGACCTTGCCATTTCCAACATGAGGAACCTGCAAGCGCTATTGACCCTGCTTCACTCTGCTGATAAACGACGGAACCAATCACCCAAAAACTGCTTGAATCGCGTGATCTTCTATAGCATTGCTTCTGTACTGCTGGCCATAACATGGCTCGTGCTTGAGCTCAACAAGCTCTAGCTTTGCAACACCGATACCACGACCCCCCCCCCCCTCGAACAAGCCAGCAACACTCAAGAAAAAGGCAGGAAAACCCTGAAAACAGCAAGAAAACGCAGGGATCAACTACAGGCGTGTCACCTACTACTTCCACTAGCACTACCACCGCCACTACCATGGTCACTACCTACCACTACCACTGCCACTTCAACTACCACGACCACCACTACGACCACGACCACGACCACGACGACGACGACGACGACCACGACCACGACCACGACCACGACCACCACCACCACCACCACCAGCACTAGTAAAAACCACCACGATTACTGTCATAGCACTCATCGTCAGAACAGAAGCTGCCGCAACCCTGGAAGCCCTGGACAAAACCGTTTGAGTGGCAACCGCAATAGAGCAACCCTTCCGTGGGGTTAACACGTTGCGCGTGCTTGCAATTTCCAACCCTAGATACTGAACCCTAAACCCCATAAGGCCCAAGCCATGTCCATGCCAAAGTGGCAGTTTCCCCCTGCGAAGTGCCACAGCTGGGCCTTGCCAGGCGTTCATAACTATAAGGGTTTAGGGTTTATAACGTGCACTGCTTCTTTGCATGGACTGACTTGCACAACCACCACCACAGTGTTGGAGGCTTAAGGGTTGGATTTAATGAGAGCCTGACTTCTCGGAGACGCACATACTAAACCCTAAACCCTAAACCCTACCACCGCCAAGCTACATAGAACTCTCAGTTGAAACATTGCATCAGAACGTCTTGAGCCCCTTGCCCAGCAAACCTGAGCAACTTGAGCACAGGGTTTGGGGGACTTTAGGGGTTCAGGGATGTGCAACAATTCCAGGCAACCCCAAACCGTGCACAGGCACGCATTCGGCAAGACAAAAAATCGCCCTTCAACATCGCCGCCTACCACCTCCCAAACACGCCATGCATAGTCCAAAAGGCCTGCACTGCCGCACAGCTGGTCGTACTGACATCAGTGCCACTGCCCTGCAAAGTGGGTAATCAAGGGCATCCTGCACTTACTCTGAGGCTCTAAGGACTCTTGTTTTCAGGAATTTGGGCCCAAAGACCATAGGATATAAGGTATTTCAGGGCATTTTGAGCCTAAAGGCTCACAATGAAAAGCTTCTGGCTGCTTTTGGATGGAAATCAAGCTTCCAATTTGGGGTATGAAAGTTGTCTAGAGTTTAGGGGTTCAGGGTTTAGGGCTTAGCAACTGCAGTAATTTCATTACCAATTATGTGGCGGATGATAAATTGGTTACGCTCGCGCATCCGTGTTGTTCCTTGCCTGCACCAGGACGCAACCAGCATCCGAGATAAGCATTGGTCCTTCCTGGGATGAGCCCTCAACCCTAAACCCGAAACGCTAAACCGCATTTGTCTTTCCTGGGATGTGACCCAAGATTTTGGAGGTGATGGAACAGGAACAAGCCTGAGTAAACTCCATTAGGGTCATTAGGGCTTAGGGTTTGGGGTTCAGGGTTTAAGGTCTTCCCAGACCCT